TATAAAATAATAATTGAACAGAAACATTCATCTATAAAATAATAATTGAACAGAAACATTCATCTATAAAATAATAATTGAACAGAAACATTCAAATATAAAATAATAATTTAACAGAAACATTTATCTATAACATAATAATTGAACAGAAACATTCATCTATAAAATAATAATTTAACAGAAACATTCATCTATAAAATAATAATTGAACAGAAACATTCATGTATAAAATAATAATTAACATTATTTATCTGAGGAGCAGCTCTGAGTTTAACTCCATCACTGAACTCTCATCTTGAGCAAGCATGAAGGCGACAGTGGAAAGAAAAACTCCCTCATGAGGAAGAAACCTTTAGCAGAACCAGGATCAGGACAAGAGGACCATCTGCTTCCACCAGCTGGGTTTGGTAGGAATAGATACACAATGGCAGGTCAAGAATCACATGTTAAGATAGAAATAGTATCAAATTAAAACTATTAAATTTTAACAATTCATTTAAGGACATGAGGTCAGTTTGTCCTCTAGTAGTCTAAGTCTATAGCAGCATAACAAGCTGACCCTAACTATAGGATTTATCAAAAAGGAAAGTCTTAAACTGGACAATGTGTCAGCCTCACAGACAGAAACTGGAAGTTGGTTCCACAAGAGAGGAGCCTGAGAACTGAAAGATCTTCCTCCCATTCTGTTTTTGTAAACTCTAGGAACCACAAGTAAACCTGCAGTCTGAGAGTGAAGTGCTCTGTTAGTAAAATATGGAACAATAAGATCTGTAATATAAGATGGAGCTAGGTTGTTGAGAGCTTTGTAGGTTAGAAGTAAGATTTTGAATTCTATTCTGGATTTGACAGGGAGCCAATGGAGAGAAGCTAAAACTGGAGAGATGTGATCTCTCCCAGTAACTCCAGTTAAGACTCTGGCAGCAGCATTTTGGATCAACTGAAGACGTTTTAAAGAAGTATTTGGACACCCAGATAATAAACCATTGCAATAGTCCAGTCTAGACGTGACAAATGCATGGACCAGTTTTTCTGCATCATCTTTAGATCAGATGTTTCTAATGTTAGTGATATTACGCAGGTGGAAGAAGGAGGTTCTAGTAACGTTTTTAATGTGGGGGATAAAAGACATGTCCTGATCAAAAATAACACCAAGATTTTTAACATTAGAGCTGGAGGACACATTAATGCATCTAAGGAGGGAGAAAGACTGAAACATTCATTCCTAAGGTGCTCAGGTCCAAAAACCAAAACCTCAGTCTTGTCTGTTCAACAGGAGAAAATTAAGGGTCATCCAGGTTTTTATGTCTTTAAGACGTGCTTGTAGTCTAAGTAGCTGATTGGATTCATTGGGTTTAATGGACAAATATAATTGTGTGTCATCAGCATAACAATGAAAATTTCAAATTCAATTTAAAACTACTTTATTAATCTCAGAGGTAAATTAAATGTTGTTGTAACTCATCATCCTGGTTTCATTAAAGAGTTGTTCTAGATGCTGATGCTGTGGACAGGAAGGATCTCTTGTAGCGTCTGTCCTACAACAGATCTGAAGCAGCCTCTGACTGAAGACACTCAGTCTTTGTATGACAGTCTGATGTTGTAAGACGGTCTGTTGTTGTATGACAGTCTGTTGTTGTATGACAGTCTGATGTTGTATGACAGTCTGATGTTGTAAGACGGTCTGTTGTTGTATGACAGTCTGATGAAGAGGATGCTGAGGGTTGTCTATAATGTTCTTCATTTGATGAAGAATCCTTCTTTGAACAATTATCTCCAAAGGTTCTAGAGGAGTCCCCAGAACTGAGCCAGCCTTCTTAATGAGCTTGTTGATCTTATTTAAGTCTCTTGCTCTGGTGCTGCTCCCCCAGCAGATGATGCAGAAGAGACAGCGCTCTCTACAACAGACTTATAGAAGATATGCAGCATCTTGCTGCAAACACTGAAGGACTTCAGCTTCCTCAAGAAGTACAGTCTGCTCTGTCCCTCCTTGTAGATGCTTCACTGTTGCATCTCCAGTCCAGTCTGTTGTCCAGGTGAACTCCAAGGTATTTATACTTCTCCACCACCTCCACTTCTTCTCCCATGATGGAAATAGAGTTGGACCTGTTCCTGATTCTCCTGAAATCTACAATCATCTCCTTTGTTTTGTTCACATTCAAGATGAGATGATTGTTTCCACACCATGCCACAAAGCGGTCCACCAGTTCCCTGTACTCAGCTTCTTGTCCATCTCTGATACACCCGACCACTGCAGAGTCATCAGAATATTTCTGCAGATGACAGGAGTCTGGTTTATACTGGAAATCTGAGGTGTACAGAGTGAAAAGGAATGGTGAGAGTACAGTCCCCTGTGGTGCTCCTGAGCTACTGACCACCTGGTCAGACACACAACCCTTCAGTCTCACACACTGTGGTCTGTTTGTCAGGTAGTCTTTGATCCAGGTGATTGTTGAGGCCTCCACCTGAGTCTTCTGAAGTTTCTGACAAAGCAGATCAGGCTGAATTGTGTTAAATGCACTGGAGAAATCAAAGAACATGACTCTCACAGTGCTGTCTGCCTTTTCTAGATGACAGTGAGTTTGCTGAAGCAGGTGTATGATGGCATCTTCAACTCCAAGTCCATGCTGATAAGCAAACTGCAGTGGGTCCTGATATGTGCTTGTTTGTCTAGTCAGATGGGTCAGCAGAAGTCTCTCTAGGACCTTCATGATGTGGGATGTCAGGGCAACAGGTCTATAGTCATTGAGGACTGATGGGTGAGTTTTCTTTGGCACTGGAACAAGACAGGATGTTTTCCACAACACTGGAACCTTCTCCTGGGTCAGGCTAAGGTTGAAGAGGTGCTGCAGAACCCCACAGAGCTGCTTTGCACAGACCTTCAGGACTCTGGGACTGACACCATCTGGACCTGCAGCCTTCTTCCAGTTCAGTCTCTCCAGCTGCTTCCTCACCTGACTTCTGGAGACGCAGAGGGGGGG